ACATGAGCCTAAGTTTCTTGGATATCCCACGAGTTTCTTACGTAATTGTACATCCAATAAAAAATCAATAAAAAGGTTAGATGTAATATTTTGACATCGTATAACAATATAGTATATAGTGTGTATATAATGTATAACGTAGCAAAAATTTATGTACATTCATATACATTTTTTATACAATATTTATATAGTACATGTTAATTTATTTTTCAGTCTTGACCAACTCAAATCTCCTCTAAACAGTCCCAAATTTTAGATATAATTCCTTTCAATATTTTGAAGCTTTTGGTATACTATTCACTTGAAACAATTTACGTTTGCGGCACGTCAAATTTTAAAATCAAGTTTTGAAGAAGATTTAATGGTTGAAAGTATGGGTGTATCACGGGTCGATTGAGATAAGTTATTGGTCAAAATCAAAATCGTATCAATTTTTAAATTATTAAAATCAAACCAAACTAAATAGAATATATATTTATCAGTTTGGTTATTATCAGTTTGGGTCGGTTTGAATCGGTTATTAGTCATACAAAAAAATTTAAAAAACAATTCATTCAAATGAGATAGGAAACAAAGACAACAATTCATTCAAAAAAGAAATGAATTGTATTTGTGCCATTTTGGATTTTATATTTCTTATATTAGAACTCCAATTATGTTTAAGTTAATTTAACTTATATAGTCAGCTAATTCAATGCATTAAACAACATAAATTTACTGAAAAAATGCATAAGATACTAATATTATTGCAAAAATAAAAGACACATTAAACTTTATTCTTTTTGAACAAAAAAAATAATAATTATAAAATAATATATTATGTACATATAATTATAAATATGTATATAATTTGTCGGTCAAGTTTGGTTATTTCTTCAATATTTTTGAACAAAATCAAAATCAAATTAAATATTATTGATTTAAAAAAATATAAAATCAAACCAAACTAAATAAGTTTATTTTTTTTTAACTTGGATCAATTTTTACCAAAATCGTAAACACCCCTGACTAAAAGCAATGAAACATAAGAAAGAAGAAGGAGGAAGACTATAATGGGCGAAGAAAAAGAATAAGGAAGAGAATTATGTAGTAGCCAAATGAGAAGCAGTGCATTTTTATGATAAATGAAAATTTGATTATTTGGGTAAGAAGTTTTGATTCAACAATCATTTGATTTTTATGAATTGTCATGTACCTACTTGAAAAAGGAAACTCAAGTACAAAAGAAGAATTAACTTGAGGGGTTTCTTTAAGTAAATGTATCAATGGTCAAACAAAAAATTCAACTAATTAAATAGTTAATTATATGTATATGCAATGTAACGAATTGTATAAATAGTGCATATATAATCTATAACACGTCTATACATTCATATTCACACACTATTTATATATTATAGGAGTCATCTTTCTTAACGAATTAATTTTTTTTCAATCCTATCAGTTTATATCTCCGCTAAATACTGTCAATTTAAGATATGAATTTTTTTTTATGTTTGAATCTTTTGATAAATTATTCACTCGAAATGATTCACGTGACATGTCAAATATTAAAATTAAAGTTTTAAAGTTCTTCAATGACAAATTTCAATAGACATTAACTCAAGTCTTACTCTAAGAAATTCAAATTTTGAATATGAGTTCTCCTCAATTTTATGATGAAATTCACAACTTCACTTTAACATCATAAAACAATGAAGAAAGTCTGAAAATAAAGAAGAAAGAAATATAATGGAGAAAATTAGAGAACAGATGAGAATGAAGTAGAAAATAAGGAGCAAAATAAGATAACATTACTATATCTAGTAATAAAGTAATAATCGGGATTTTTTTATTTTTATAATAATGACCTGGGTCATTTTATTTAATTTGCTCCTAACTTTAAAGGATTTTACCAAAAAAAAAATGAGTGTGTATTTTGATCGCATCCATAATTTAGGTAGGAACATTTTTTATCAGTTTTGTTTCTCAAAGTTTTTCTCATTTTAAATCAAAAAATGCATATCAACAGTTTTGTTTCTCAAAGTTTTTCTCATTTTAAATAAAAAAATGCATATAAAAAAATTCTCAAAGTTTTTTTCATTTTAAATCAAAAAATGCATATAAAAAAAATATACAAAGTGAAGTTAGTAAGATTCGAACTCTCAAGGTCCATCCAACAATTAAGGTGTTGAACCACTTGGACTATGCTACTATTTGTGTTGAGCAGTGTCATTCTACTATATTTAACCAAATATTCTGATTTTGTTTTTCAATTAGGTAATCATATTTAATTAAAAAAATTCGACCAAGTAGTGTCCCATGACATGCCTTGATACAAGGTAATTCCGTACCTGACAACATGGACACTTTTTATTTAAAAGTTGATCAAAGCGACTATATAACTAACAATCAAGGGAATCTCAATAAAATTAATGGCCTAAAGTCAAATTATAATAAGAGGCCTAAAAGATATAAACACATGCACAAAAATATTATTAATTTTGAATTTCCTTTTTTGGTTATTGTATACTATTTTTTTTATGACATATTCTTAAAAGACATTAAACATATAACACTACAAAAAACCCTGAATTGCCAACGGATTTTACTAACAACTCAAATTAGTTAGTATATTAGCAACAAATTTGTAACCAAACTATTTTTCAGAATTTAGCAACGAATTTCTAACAAATTGCCAATCGAAATGTTGCTAACAAAATAATTTAGTTGGTAAATTTAGCGGAAAAAATTGGCGCCTAATTTAGCAACTTTCTACCAACGGATTACCAATCGAAATGTTATTAACTAAATATTTTAGTTGGTAAATTTGACGAAAAAAATGACGCCTAATTTAGCAACTTTCTATCAACGGATAACCAACTGAAATATTACTAACTAAATATTTTAGTTGGTAAATTTGACGGAAAATATGGCGCCTAATTTAGCAACTTTCTACCAACAGATTACCAACTTAAATATTACTAACACATGCCTCTTGTTGGTAATATTACCAACGAAATATACAACAATTGGTAAATATGACCAAAAAACTAAAGTATCCTTTATTAACCAATTACCAATCAATAATGTACCAACGATAGGATTTGTTGCTAATTTTACCAACCAATTAAAAATGTGTTGGTAAATTACTAACGGGTTGTTATTTGTTGGTAAACTTGCCAACAAATACTCCATCAGTTGGAACTTTTTACCAACAGATAAAAATTATAGTTTGTAAAATACTAACATATAAGAAAGAATCGGTAATATACCAACCAGTTTCTAATCTGTTGATAAAATTTGCCAACATGTTCATCCCGAGTTGGTAATATTACATGTGAATGATGAATCGTGATAATCACTATCAACTAGGATCAAATATATGTTGGTTAATTGCTATACTATAGATGTTGTCCGTCGCTTTTAATTTATTTTATTTTATTAATTATTTTTTTATCATAGCGACGGACTGCATGTTTAGGTCGGTCGTTTCTTGGTCAAAGTATATGGTCAATTATTTTAAAAAAGCGACGGACAATGTCTCTTAATCAGGCCCCCATTTACAGGGGGTGTGATTGGGCGTCTTACTGGCGCATCGCGCCAGCCTCGTGGCGCCTTGGGGTCGCGATGCCCCATCCCAAACCCAGAACTTTGATGAGTTTTTCTTGTTCAATTCATAGCCTGACCCACTTGAAATCAAATGATTCATTTCCAAACTCATTTAGATCCATAAACCCAACGAAATTCATTGAAACTCTCTCAATTTACACCAAGAACAACTGTCACGACCCAAAAATGGATGTGATGACACTCGTCTTATCCCACAAAGACAAGTTAGCCTAAAACCCAATCATTTCGATAAAGTGCGGAAATAAACCAAAAGTCCAATAATAATTACTAATACGAATAACAAGTCAACTTAATTCAATTCCCAAAACCTGATTGTTACATGCACAAGCCTCTAATGTAAGTACAAGAATTGAAATAAAATACGCAAGTCTCAAATGACGTTGTCTTAATGTAAAAACAAAATCGTAAACATGAGTAAGAAGGTCTGCTGAGATGACAAACAACTACCTCACAAATCTCCACAGAAAGCCTCGGAAACTAAGGGAATAAAAGGTAACATGAAAATCCGGGCTCGCTACCTATAAAAATGTGGAAGCAAGGGGTGAGTACCAAACCACACCGTACTCAACAAGTACACTTCTAAACACAAGCTAAGGGGATAGAATACGGGTACTCCTTACACCCATCCGAACCTCCACAACTACAACCTGCATAAAACCAGCCTAACCTAACAGTTCACAGTTTACAAAGCACACAACTCAACAACAACACTCTAACAATTACATATCCTTCACAACAAACTCCATATTCATCAATCACAGCTTTCACAGAAAGGCACTCACAAGATCAACAACACACAAGATCAAGTTCATCAATGATGAAAATGTGCAGTGCAATGAAATGCAATGTCAAGTATAATGATGTATGTCTGACCTAACAATACACACTCGTTGTCTCTCTATCCGGGACCCATGAGGGACATATCTGTCCATGCATATGTCACGGCGTGTGGCATGTTCCTCGATAATAGTATCCATCATGGCGCGCGATACGTCTCTCTATATATAGTATCCATTGTGGCGCGCGATACGTTTCTCGAAATGGTACATCCTCTTATCACAACCATGTTTCAGAACCAATGCAAATGACATGTTCAAATAATGAGGAGATGACCATTTTCATAACAAGGCACAATTCACAACAATGCAACCGTTATGCAACATCAACAATTAAGCAATAAGCCTTCAAATCATTCTCAAATATCACACACCAATAATTAATCACAGTACCTTTTTATTACCCTTTTTCCATCATTAGAATTATTCAACATGGACAAGTCAGCCCATCACCAATTTCCATTACTCCCAAACACATATTATAAGGAAATACACGAATTTCATACACTTAGCATGGGTTTAGAAATCTACTTGCCTCGATCAATCAAGAATTCACTCCAAGACTTGAGTCTTTCCCTTCCGTTGAGCTTCCAAATCAATGCAATCTATTCAAGGACATGATCACAATAAGATTTCGAAATTAACAACACCCAACTTTGTAATCAAGTTTCTAAGCTTCAAGCCTAGGGCTAAGTCACAATTTTTTTTCCAATATCCTAAAACTAATGGTATTTATATAAGATTATTCCCCTAATATTTAATTACCTATTTCAATATAGAAAAAATTGAATTATAACATGGTAATTATAAAAAAATATGGAATCGAAACCACTTACGGAACGATACTTAAACTTGAACTAATAGCAGAATGTTGTTTTGTGCATTTACTCTATAATATACTATCCTCCAATGATTGGTCATAATTACTCTATAATTTATCCACTAAAATTTGCCAACAAGTGACCCATAAATGATACTTGCCCATCAGTTTGAATAAAACAATATTGACAGCGATTGAAAATCCAATTCCTTAACTACCAATATATTATAATAATAATTTAAATGGAAAACACATAGCAAATTCGTATTACCTGAAAGTAATCTTTCGATTTCTACGTTGGCTCCCTTTTCACAAGTGATTTCCGTTCTCTTCTTCTTTTCTTAAGTTATGATCCAAAAATTTTCAACCCTAATAATTTGTTCCCATATATTGTCACGTTGTATTAAATTAAAAACCTGACCCATTAAGCATTAACTAAAATTAGCTCTTTAATAATTAACAATTAATTAATTCACTCTAGTTAAATGAATATTCAAAATTTTCAAAAATGACATTTCGGGTCATTACATTATCCACCACTAAAATCATGTTCGTCCTCGAACATGAGGTGAAATAAAGTACCTAGAGCTTCAAAAAGCTTAGGATATATGGCACGCATGTCAGACTCTGTCTCCCAAGTTGCCTTTCCCACTGATCGGTGCTTCCACTGCACCTTCACTGAAGCAATCTCCTTGGTCATAAGCTTTCGAAACTGCCTATCCAATATAGCTATAGGCTCCTCCACAAACATCAAGTCCAGACCCATCTCCATAGAATTGGGTGAAAGCACGTGAGATTCATCCGGAATATACTTCCGAAGCATAGAGACATGGAAAACAGGATGAACTGCAGATAAACTAGGTGGTAAGGCTAACTTATCAGCCACTTCTCCCACTCGGCTCAAAATCTCAAAAGGTCCAATGAATCTAGGGCTAAGCTTGCCCTTTTTTCCGTTCCGTATCACACCCTTCATGGGTGACACTCTAAGCCAAACTTGATCGCCCTCCATAAACTCTAAGGCTCTAACTCTCCGATCTGCATAACTTTTCTGTCGACTCTGGGTTGTCAACAGTCTATACTGAATCATACGGACTTGCTCCATAGCATCTCTAAGAAAATATGTATCCAAAGAGTCCATCTCCACCGAATCAAACCAACCGATCGGAGATCTACACCTTCTGACATACAATGCCTCAAATGGGGCTATCTAAATACTAGAGTGATAACTGTTATTGTAGGCAAACTCTGCTAAGGGCAAATGTCGATCCCATCTAGCACCAAAATTGATCACACAAGCTCGAAGTTGTCTTCCAACACCTGAATCGTCTGATCAGACTGACCATCTGTCCCTCAGCCGTACTCATATCCAATTAAATACCCAAACCATGATGTAATGATTTCCAGAAAGAGGAAGTAAATAATGAACCGCGATCTGATATAATAGAAACAGGAACCCCATGTAGTCACAAAATCTTACTTAAATATAGCTCGGTGAACTTCTCTGTTGTATACTTCACCCGAACCGAAATGAAGTGGGCAGACTTGGTCAACCTGTCAACAACAACCCAAATGGAGTCATAACCACCCACTGTGGTAGGCAAACCCACAACAAAGTCCATAGTGATCCGCTTCCACTTCCAATTAGGAATATGTATCCTCTGAGATATACCATCGGGACGCTGGTGCTCACACTTGACCTGTTGGCAAGTCAAACACCTAAAAACAAAGTCTGAAATATCTCTCTTCATCCCACACCATCAACAATGCTGACTTAGATCATGATACATCATCGCCGCTCTTGGATGGATGGAATATCGAGAACAGTAGGCCTCCTCAAGAATCAATCTAGTTAACTCGCCCGTCTTGGGCATACAAATACTACCTCCGATCCGCAATACACCATCAGAATCAAGGACACCCTCCTTGGCTTCCTCTCTCAATACTTTGTCTCGAATGAGACATAACTTCTCATCATCAAACTGGTGCTCACAGATCTGCTAGACTAAAGAAGGTCGAGCTTCAATAAAAGCAATCATCCCATCACTTTCCTCTGAAATCTTCAACCGGACAAGACCGTTAGTTAACATCTGAACATCTCTAGCCAACGATCTCTCCTCAATACTAAGCGCGGCAAGACTCCCCATGCTTGGAGTCTTCCTACTCAAAGCATCGACCACAATATTGGCCTTCCCCGGATGATATAAAATGGTCACATCATAGTCCTTCAGCAACTCAAGCCACCTCTGTTACCTCAAGTTCAGATCCCTCTGACTGAAGATGTACTGAAGACTCCGATGATCAGTGAAGATCTCACAATGAACCCCATACAAATAGTGACGCCATAACTTAAGTACAAAGACCACGACTGCCAACTCCAAATCATGAGTAGGGTAGTTCTTCTCATGGGTTTTTAACTGTATAGAAGCATACGCAATCACCTTCCTCTTCTTCATCAATGCACCATCCAAACCGACTCCTGAAGCATCACACTACATAGTAAAGTCCACACCCTCCTCTGGTACAGTCAATACAGGGACCGAAGTCAACAAGGTCTTGAGCTTTTGAAAGCTCCCCTCACACTCATCAGACCATTAAGAACCCACACCTTGTCGAGTCAATTTGGTCAACGGTGCTGCAATAGTATAGAAACTCTAAAAAAATTATCGGTAATAGCCTACTAATCCCAGAAAACTCTAAACCTCGGTAGGAGAAGTAGGTCGCGTCCAGCCTCTAATTGCCTCAATCTTGGCCGAATCTACTCTTATACCCTCCTTGGACACCACGTGTCCCAAGAATGCCACATAATTAAACCAGAACTCAGACTTTGAAAACTTGACATACAACTTCTCTTCTCTTAACCTCTGAAGTACAATCCTCAAGTGTCGGACATGGTTCTCCTCAGCCCTGGAGTAAACCAAAATGTCATCGATGAAGACAATCACAAAAGAAACAAGGTATGGTCGAAACACCCCGTTCATCAACTCCATGAATGTTGCAAGGGTATTAGTCAACCCAAAGGACATCACTAGGAACTTATAATGCCCATACCGAGTCCGAAAAGCTGTCTTAGGGATATCTGACGCCCTAATCTTCAACTGATGATACCCGGACCTCAAATCAATCTTAGAGAACAATGATGCTCCTTGTAGCTGATCAAATAAGTCATGAATACGCAAAAGAGGATAATTATTCTTCACTGTTACCTTGTTCAACTATCTGTAATCAATACGCATCCTCATAGTCCCATCATTCTTCTTAAAAAAACAACACAGGGGCACCCGAAGTGACACACTAGGACGAATAAACCCCTTACTCAATAAATCATACAACTGATCCTTCAACTCTTTCAACTCTACTGGAGCCATACGGTAGAGAGGAATAGAAATTGGCTTAGTGCCCGACTCCAAATCAATAGCAAAAGCAATATCCCTATCGGGAGGAACACCTGGAAGATCAGAAGGAAATACATCAAGAAACTCTTGAACCATGGGAATAATATCCATGGGAGGTGGTTCAATACTAGTGTCCCGAATAAAAGCTAAGTAAGATAAACACCCTATCTCCACTAATCTCTAAGCATAGATAAATGAGATGACCTTGCTAGGATAATAACCACTAGTACCCTTCCACTCAACCCTCGGAACACCAGGCATTGCTAAAGTCACAGTCTTAGCATTATAATCAAGAATAACATGATAATGAGAAAGCCAATTCATACCCAAAATAACATCAAAGTCTACCATCCCCACAATGATTAAGTCTACCCAAGTGTCATACCCCGCCAAAGGAAAAAGACATGATCGATACAATCTATCCACCACTAAAGGCTCACCTACGAGTGTGGAAACACGAATAGGTACGGTCATGCTATCAAATATCATATCAAATTCAGCAGCAAAATAGGTAGACACATAAGTGAATGTAGAACTTGGATCAAACAATACAGACGTAGATCGATGGCATACTGGATGATACCTGTAATAACAATATCAGAAGTCTCTGCTTCGGGTCTCCCCGGGAAAGCATAACAGTGGCCCCCTCTGCCACTTCCAGCCTGGGTGGTAACTCTACCCCCACTTTGCTGAGCTGCAGTACCACTACTAGAAGCTCTACTGCCTCTACCTGACTGAACTCTGCCTCGACTTCTACCTTGTCGTACTAGTGGTCTAACCTCTCGAGATGCCCTAAACACAACCGATCTAATAGAGAAAGTCAACCCCCTCACGAATTTATGGATCCTCTTAGTCTCGTCTGGAATAATGGCCAAAGCATGCCTAGACAATTGACGAAAATGGGCCTCATACTCTGTAACGAATAAGTCGTCCTGTCTCAGATTATCAAACCTCAAACGGCTCTCCTCTCTCAAGTTCCAAGGATAAAACGATCATGGAAGGCACTGGAAAATATCTCCCAAGTCACTGGGGGAGATCCAATTGGCAAAGACCCTGAATAAGTTCTCCACCACTCTCTCGCTGGCCCACGAAGTTGGAGTGTAGCATACCAAACCCCATGTGACTCAATTGATCCAACCACCTCTAGCAACTCTCGGCCTGTAGTCAGAAACTCATGAGCGTCCTCACTCTTCCCACCCTGAAACTGAGGTAGGTCCATTTTTTGAATTCCCCCTCATCCTCTGTCAGAACAACCAATGGTGCACCTTGACCCCCAATTGCTGGTGCAAGATCATTTTCAACCACGGGATCCACTGGTAGCTGCCCCACCGCATCCTGAGCGTGCTGCTGCTCTTGGGTCTGAGCCTCCTCTTTAGTCTGAGAGTCTTATGGTGTGGCGGTCGCACCACCACCTTGAGTAAAGCTCTCAAGCACACTTAACACCCTCAATAATGTATCCTGAAGAAAATGTGTGGTTGCAGGCTCCGGAGGAACCTAGTTCTCTCTGTCATCAATTTGAGGGTCTGGAGAGACCTCTCTAGCACGACCCATCACTGGTGCTGCTCCACGACCACGATCTCTGGCTAGTGTCGTTCCACGAGCTCGACCTCTAGCTCAGGCTCTACCCTTACCCTTAGCTGGTGCCTCAAAAATTGCCTCGGGAAGTACCTCCCCTCTACCACCAGTAACAATAGCTCTAATCCTCGTCATCTATCAAAAGGAATATATGATAGCTCAGTAATAAAGAAGGTAACAACGCACGATGAGAAAAATGAACCAAAAGGAAGTTTCCTAACAGGTCTCATAACCTCTCAGAGATGAGTACAGACGTCTCCGTACCGATCCTTGAGACTCTATGTAAACTTGGCTTACAAACACGTGAGACCTATGAACCTGGGCTCTAATACCTTTTTGTCACAACCCAAAAATGGATGTGATGGCACTCGTTTTATCCCACCAAGACAAGTTAGCCTAAAATCCAATCATTTCGATAAAGTGCGGAAATAAACCAAAAGTCCAATAATAATTACTAACACGAATAACAAGTCAACTTTATTCGATCCCCAAAACTTGGTTGTCACGTGCACAAGCCTCTAATGTAATTACTAGAATTGAAATAAATATGCAAGTCTCAAATGACGTTGTCTTTTAAGTAAAAACAAAATCGTAAACAAGAGTAAGAAGGTCCGCTGAGATGACAAACAATTACCTCACAAATCTCCACAGAAAGCCTCAAAAACGAAGGGAATAGAAGGTATTACGAAGTCCGGGATCGCAACATACAAAAATGTAGAAGCAAGGTGTAAGTATCAAACCACACGGTACTCAACAAGTAAACTTCTAAACACAAGCTAAGGGGACAGAATACGGGTACTTCTTACACCCCATCCGAACCTCCACAGCTACAACTTGCATAAAACCAGCCCAACCTAACAGTTCACAGTTTACAAAGCACACACTTCAACAACAACACTTTAACAAATACATATCCTCCGCAACAAACTCAATATTCATTAATCGAAACTTTAACAGGAAAGCACTCATAAGATCAATAGCACACAAGTTCAAGTTCATCAATGATAAAAATGTGTAGTGCAATAAAGTGCAATGTCAAGTATAATGATGTATGTCTGACCTAACGATACACACCCGCTGTCTCTCAGTTCGGGACCCATGAGGTATATATGTGTCCATGCATCCGTCGCGGCGTGCGGCACGTCCCTCAATAATAGTATCCATCACGATG